AACATACAATGAAAAACTGCTGAGTTCTTAGTTAGTGTGCTTTAAATAGGGTGTCATCTTTATCTTCAGAAAAAGAGAGGTACGTTGATATTATATTAAACTAAGAAAGCAAACTAATAGAAAGTTCCTGTGCATTTCGTAAAAGGATTTTCTCTGGGTATAGCAGAAATGGTCAGAATTGAGGCTCACTGCATAGATTTCATATTGATGGTGCGCTGATCACTTAATGCTAGAAACCAAAGCCAGACGTGTCCATGCATCTTCTGGGCTGGATCTGGCTCATGTCCATTGAGTTAAGGATGCGAATAAAGAAAGTACTTGTTTGGCTGTGCCCGTTGGCATACGCACGCGTGCGCTCTCTGCGTGCACACATGTGGCCCCTTGATTCTCAGATCTTTCACTTGAGACCACGTAGAAGCCAACACTAGAGGAAACTCCAGCAATGTGTTTCAGGATGTACCTCATTACGTTAAGCAGCACGATAATGACTTAACAGACTTAATTAAAAAAAGAAACAAACCCAAAACCAACCAAAAAACCAAACCAAAAACCAAGTCCTTTTAAGGATTAAAGTGAAGCTGTTTTTTTATTATGGCTGCCACTGTTTTATCTGTAGATTTTTGTTCAAGGTTATTACTCCAATATTTTGTTGGTCATTGGTTGTTTTAATGACAACAGCTGCATCATAGTAAATGAATGGAATGAAACATCTTGGAAGAATAGTAGAATGGTGTTATTGCATATCTGTTGCTGATTCACTGTTACAATGGGAAAACCCCATTTCTATTTTAGTCTTGCTACCTACGGTCTACAAAGAATGCATTTTCTTACTTTGACTGCAGTTTTGACATTTAAAGAAATGCTTGCTGTAATGAGGCTTCTGCGTTTTGTTCATGATGAGAACATTTCAAGTATTTACATAATTAGAATATTAAGAGACTATATATCATAACATAGAAAACAATTTAATTTTTGCTCTCATTAAAAACAAAACATAACCAACCCTAAATGCAAACTCCCACACTCAAATCTTCTAGATTGTTCATAAGGCACAGATATAGGAACAAGTGGAATGAAGAAACTATATATTGTTAAGAAGGAAGAGAGGGGAGCCTTTTTTTGTTATTGTTTAGAAAATATTCTTTTTACCTCATTAATTTATGATTGTTTTGTTAGTGAGGCAAATACAGAAATGGTTATGAGGAAGAAAGTATAAATTCTAGCAAAGATGATGCCTCTAACTGCTCTTAACAAACCAAGTGAGAAAAGATAACTCTTGCCCTGTTTTGAGAAAGCTGCTTGTTCTAGCTATACTGAATGCAGGAATTATAAAAACAAAATAGGATTCTTGTTACGCTCATTTGCATGTTAAATATTCTGGATGTTTTTCCAGCTCCCAGTTATTTCAAAGCAGTCGGAGTGTCTGAGCTCTGGGAACGAACCAAATGACTTACAGCGCTCTTTGGTGTGCAGATGACCCCTTCCCTAAGATTCTGCTAGTCCAGAGCAGAGCAAGTTGGTGATTGTACTCTTTGAAATAGCAATAGGCTGCTGGGAGAAGCTCCTTCCTTCCTATCAGCTTCTGAAGTACGTGGCTGAAGAGACCATTTGAGAGAGTGCAGATAGGCAAACAGCATCCATTTGCTTAGTGATGACAGTTGTTAATATTACTGTTTTCCTCATAGTCAAATTTGTAATGGCTTGAAAGCGTAAAGCAAATAAGAAGTAGCCCAGCAGTGAAGTGCTTTAGACCAAGTTCAGTTGCTCTTTAAATCAGGCATTAGCGTACGCTATTTAACACATACAAAATGCCTGTATGAGGATGAATTTCAGATCAGGAAGTTGGTGTTTTAATAGTTTACTGCTCTATCCACTGCAGAAAAAAATCCCAACCAAACCACACACACAAAAAAAAATCCCATGATGGATCTATAGGACGACTCAGGGATTTTGTCAGGTAGTATTTGTGTCAAAATAAACGAGGCAGCTCGTCACAAGAAAAGTATCCTGAACAACCCATTGATATTAATGGGCTCCAAATCCTTGCTCAGAGAAGAGATCATGAACCTTCTGGACAGTTGGTCAGTGTCACCTTTAATACTCGGTAACAGTCAAAAGGCAAATGGTTAGGACAGGAACAGAATGAGTTACTGCTATGTCGGTAAATCACTAAGCGCTATTTTTTTGTGCATTTTATGCAATAGTTGGTTTTCCTTCTCAGGAAGGAATTAGTAGAGCTAGGAAAGGTGAGGGTGAAGGGAAGCCAGATCTGCAAATGAAATGGCTGCTGTGCCAAGAAAAATTAAGCAGCACCAACTCAGTAAAGCTGTGACAAAGTTGTGTAACGTTCGAACGGGGATTATGAATAGGAGGCAATTGTTTACTGTTTCTCTGAAGACGGGAGCTGAAGTTATCAGGCAGCAGGCTTAAAATAAAAGGAATTGTGGGGTTTTTTTCATGCCACACATGGTGTGGAGCTCACTGCCACAGGATGGTAGGTAGAGGTCAAAAATATAAATGTATTCAAAAGGGGTAGGACAAATTCAGAGAAAAGTGTGTCAGAGGCTGGGCTGCGCAGGCTGTGGATGCAGGCTCTTGCGCTGGGGTGCCCCGAAGCCGCGGGCAGCATGGCAGGCTTGCCTTGCTGCTTGGGCTCAGCCTGTCCGCAGCAGGCCACCATCAGAGGAGGCATTGTGGGCTTCAGAGACTACAGGTCCAAGTCAGTGTCTTTAGCCTAATGGTCTTCACCACCTTGCCTCCTTTCACTAGTGACAAGTTATAGCCACCCTTTAACTTCTTCTTTCACAGACGTGCTTTTTTCTTACTCCCCCAAGAAAGTAACTCTTTCTTTCTCCAAACTTGGTGGATCATTGGTCCTCTTTCAAGCTTCTTGATTTTAGTTTTCCCTGGAAAGTTACCCTGGGGTCTTGTTACTCTTCCTGGGAATGTTAGTTGTGTGGTTTGTTTAAATGCATCAGCCTCACGTAGGCATGCTATACTATAATACCTGTTGAGCTCTCCTGACTACCTGTGGTCTAATTGACACACCCATCTTCCCTGGAAGCTGCAGGGAGGCCCTGTTTGATTTCTTTTTTCCCCTTGTGTGAACTTGGCACCAAGCAGATCTAATGACATGAAGGTCGTGGGTAGTCAGGGACCAGGAACAGGGGTGGAGATTGTGGTACACTGAAGGATCTTGTCTGTCAGCGTGGCCAAAGAATGATGGTGTATCTGGCAGGAAACCTTTCTTCTCCGCTCTTACTTGTGCATAAATTTACTTGCATTCCTTAGTTCTGGAGGGGACACAACAGAGAGCTGCTTGTCCTTTCTCCCCCTGCCTTTTTTCTGAGAGCAAGAATCACATGCCTGGTAGGTCCATTCAGGCACTTCTCTTCCTGCTATTGAACCCCAACATTAAGGGAATGAAGAAGTATCAGTAGGTGCCTCAGATAGGCTCCTTCAAGCTCTTGAAAGTCTTAAGTAATATAAAGTTATTCCTACTTTAACATTTTAGCATGTAGTAAAGAAACCATTTTATTTTTGTGTGTGTGATCACTGGGTGCAGTCAGGTTTTGCCTTTGTTCTGCTAACTAGTTTGATGGATAGGTCAGGCACAACCTTTTATAACAACTTTTTTGTAGGTTATCCTACCTTTTCAGGTAGGTTGAGTTGAGGAATTTTCATATACCTAGACTTCTTCCACCCACATGGGTGTGGTGGGATTTAATTTCTGAGCCTGTGTAAGTTCCATGGGAGTTCAAAGCAAGTAATGCTGTTCCTATTTCCACGTCTCAATGGCTTGCACCTAGTGTACGCAGAACTGCAAGCAGGAGGGCTATGTTCTGGTCTGCTCATCTGGTTCTTCCCAGGATAGTGCTGGGAAGCAGAAGCTGGATGAATTTACTTTGTAGTGCATAGCTGGCCTGTATGCCTAACAGGAACAGTCTGCATTGGATAATAATATGTTCATTTAAACAATGCTAATAATCAGCGTCCATTCTTGGAATGTGCAAATTGGAATGTACAATGAGTTGCAAGTACAAGGGAGCCTTGATAATTGAGGAACAATTTGCTTAATTGTGTTGTTCTTAGTCAATGTATCATTAAAACAATGAAAAAGTTAAATGGTTGTTTAATGTTTGACAGGGTCAATATTTTCCAGTCTCACAGATAATTTAATAGTCAGGATACATGTATGTGGAAGGAAAAAAGAAGTTATTCCTAGAATATACGTGAATAGGAAGTGGATAAGAATTATAAAGACAAGGTTATTTAAAAAAAACAAAAACACACAAACCACCAAACCCAACATCTCCTCTCTCTTCCCTGCAAAAAACCCAAACCAAACAACAACAAACCACAACTACTTCATTTACTGCACTAAAATAAAAAGTTGGGGTATGTAATGAGGGGGCTTAGTGGAACATGGTACCTATTGTACCTCTGCATTTTTATAGTCGTAAGGGATCTTCCATTGCAAAAGCAGTGTTTTTCCTGTTGCTTTTCAGATCTTGAGAGAGGCCAGTTCTTGACCAGTGACTAATCTCAAATGTTGAAGTGACCTTGGTCAAAAAGGGACGAATATGTGCAAGTGCTGACTCAGGTTACCATATTCAAGTAATAACCTATGGGCCTTTGTCTGCTCTTGATTAAAACAACAGATTTGTGTTGTTAGCTGTCTTACTGCAGCTGTCAGCATCTTTGTTCTTTCTGTGACCAGAAAACAGGTTACATAAGTCATTAAATAAGGCACAACCTCTATTTCCAAGGCATACTTAAGAAATTGATTACAGTTTGAAAAAATATGAAGCTATTATAAAGATTTATATATAAATTTAAATACTGTGAAACAAATGTTAATATCCAGATGTTCTTATGTCCGCTGATTTTACTAATTTGAATTAAAACCCCTGACTTTTTTCATCTTCTGTTAATACATTTCTTTGGTAGTATTGTAAGACTATTTCCTCATTGTAAAAAGAATGCTTCTATGTTTGCAGATGCTGTGAAGCCACCGGTCAGTTCTTTACAACCATCTGCTGAGTTACCCTTGCCCATCAACACTTCACCACCTTCCATGCAAGCAGAATCTTCCCTACCTCCTCCTTACCAGCTTATTAACATCCCCCCACTGGAGTCTTCCTCTGGTCAAGAAGATCCTCAAGACTACCTACTGCTAATAAACTGTCAAAGTAAAAAACCTGAACCTATGAGGTAAGTGACCTTTTTTCTTAATAACACTTATTTGTATTATAGGCCAAGAATGTTTGTGCTAAAAGCACTTTTTTTTTTATTGCCAAGTCATCGAACATTCAGATGCACATAATCTGCAGGGGGAAGCTGCCTGTAACTTTTGCTGCTTTTCTTTCTATGCTTGAACATTTGCAGCAGAGTATTAAGTTGTTTGATCAGCGCTAGACCTATATGGCATTCTGCAAAAGCAAATGTTGATATGAAGCGTCAGATAAATGCAGTGATCCAAGCATTTCGTTGTAACTTCCAATGCATGGCACAGAGCGGAGAAGTACCCTTTCTTTAGGCACAATCTGGTGTGTTTAGTTCAGTCGAGGAAAAAGCTGGAAAAATTTAGCCTTTCTCCCTTCTGGTATTTGGTGTCCCAGTTTTGCCAGTTAAAGCTTTTATGGAAGGGAATCAGTAAAGCACGCTGATATTTATTATCGCTTGCCAGGTTACCACATCACTGAACATGGCAATCCTCGAATGGTATTTGTTGACTATTACTAACATGGCTCAGACTTTCAGGCAAGAGTAAAAGATAATTATTTTATGATTACTGAGGATGCAGAAGACTTAAACCACTTCATTTCTGTATCCTGAATTTTAACTTTTTCCAAATAACAGATATTTAAAAACAAGCTCAAATAAGCCTTAATTGTTACTGAATAAGGAGAACCCACACAGTCAATTCTCCAAAGAAGTGTGCAATAGGACATTTTAAGGAAAGAATTGAGAAATTCTACTGAATTAAATGTATATTTATTTCTCCAACTGCTACTTCTAACTTAAATAGATGTACAGCACCTCTTGCATGGGAGGGTATGATATTTATGGTATCTACCTGGGAAATACTGCTAAGGATCATGGTGCCCGTCCCTGGAGCAGGCTGCCCAGGGACTTAGTGGAAATTCTGTCCTCTGAGATGTAAAAAAAATAAAAAAATAAAAAATCACAAACTCACTTGACTGGACAAGTTCCTAAGGAGTCTCACCTGACTTGGAAGTTGGCTTTGCTTAGAGGTATTGGAAGAGCTGGACCAGATAATCTCCAGAGGTCCCTTCCAACCTTGAGTCTTCTGTGGGAGAACCTTATAAATCTCTGTGGCAAGCTGCTTTTCTGCAGTAATTTAATATAAAATCTGCTGGGTTATTTCCAGACAAATGAACAAAATGGTATATTCTTTTTGTGATTGCAGACCAGTACATGGAAAGCTGAGGAAAGCTTCCTTTGAAAGCGTTTTCATGAGTATTTCACATACTCCCTTAGGGCCATACCTTTTAGTGGTGGTGCCTTCTTCATCAACACCTTGATGCTCTGCCAGTTTTACCTGTGCCATGTGCTCTCTGCTCCCTTGGCATTTTTATCTTCCTCTGTTGTGCCTGAGGAGTTTCCTGCTCCGTTTACTGATGATTACCGTGGTAGAAAAGTATTTACCCTTTACGATCTTTCTTATAAAACGGAGGAATGAGCCTTTAGTTCCCCCAGAGTATGGAATGTGCAGGTTACAGGCAGCACGGCATGCCCCAAAGCCTCCTGCAACAGAAGGGGAAACCCAGTGTGTCTCTTATCAGTGTTAAAGTTTTCAGTGTTCAGTGATGTTTAGAAGCTGATGGTGTCCCAGAGGTATGTCGCCATTCCAGCCAAAAGCTATCAAAAAGTTTGGTATCGTTTCCAGAACGGCTTGGCAGAGAAATCTTGACTTTTCATTTCAATGCCCTGGCTTATCAGAAATGTGTCTGAGTGCCTGTTTGCTTCTGTGAGGGATGGGCAGAGAGTGAATTTCTAACACCATCACCTGAAGCATGTTTTTGGGAACGATCAAGGTTGGGATGTGTAATTGGCTTTCTGACCTGACTTCCACCATTGTGTGACGTGTGGATTAAGTAGAGGGAGTAAAGTATGAGGAGACCATGAAAGGGGGCACAAAACGTGGCAAGGTACAGAGTCCGTGAATAGCCTGCAAAATTTCTTGAGGAAGACACTGGCGACATGGGAGAAGAAGGTATTTGGGGGTTGGGGAAGGCAGAAGGTCCAGTGGAGATGAAGTGTTGAGGGAACTGAGAAAGAACTGAACAAAGTCTTTGGGAGTGTAGAGATTGTTTAAATACATGATGTTTTTATAGGAATATTTGAAGACAGCGAAACACTGGCATTGTGATGACTTGTAAAATTATGTTGGCATAGTGTATTATATTTAACTAAGATCACTAAATAGCTATGTCCTTTTATTAAGAAGGTTGTAATAATGAAAATTCAGAATAATAGCTCTGCTAGAGATTCAGTTCCACCTAAAAGGACTGCTTATATTGCATGTCTGGTACAGTAGGTATTCTGCTGGATTTGGGCTGGAGTGTAGAGTAGCTAGACCTTTTCCTATGGAATTAGAGCTTTGTGTATCTGTGTAGCATCTTACTAAGATGACCGGTTAGAGGGCACACTGTGCACTACCCCAATCCGCATCCTTACAGGTGAAGAAAAAAATTAAATGACTGCATCATTTACCTGTTAATTTCCAGACTTGGAAGAATTTATCTGTGTATTTCACAAAACGTTTTTTCCTTCGTGTAAAGTGCAGAGCTTGATAGATGTAATTAAATAGGCAGGTATTGCTACTTGAACAGTCTCTTTCTATGACATTTTCCCTTTACACTTTAAAGATGCTGATATGCAGAGGGAACATTTTCTGTTCTAAATTTGCATGTTACTTTATAGATAACCTGGGAACCACTGAATTTTATTTCAAGGCTTTGGGGTTCTTTTTTGGGTGAGGCGGGTAACTCTGAAACGTAGAGGAAGTATCCGAGCTGCATCTTACAAATTTTTGAGAATTGTGGTGTTTCAGAACTAACAAATAATTTTGAAATGCTTTGTTACAGTGTCATGCAATGCACCACGTACTGTTGTGAGAATATCTTGGACGCAGCACTTGCAGCTGTAATAATTATGCTGTATTTTGTCTAAAATAGTTTTATGCTCTGATCACTGTTGACTTGAGAAGAGAGTATTGTTCAACTGTAGCATTTAGTGAGATTTAAAGGTTCCTATTTGGATCCTAACTAAGAAAATGCAGCCAAAGACTGTTTCCAAAACCCTTATTGTTCTGGCTCATTCCAGAGGTATACTGAAATACTAAACGCTGTCTTCCTCATCTTTCCTGTGTTTATGAACCAGCCAAGGGTCACCCTTTCTCTCGGAAGAAGGGCAGGAATACCTGCTGTTAGAAGATTTTGAAAGTAAAAAGATTCCACTGCAGTGAGTGAACAGTAGCCATTCTTGGAACGTGCGTGAGAAATTAATCACAGAGCCATTAACTTGCCTGAAAAGAAAATATTGTTTGTTTGAGATGCGTCTTGCATGATGTTCTGTGAGTTTTAACAGAAAAACTATGTAACTTTGGCTTCCATTTGCTGGAAATCGAGCTGGTTTATTATTTATTTATTTATCTATCCACATTTTTACTATGCTTGCTGTTTGTCCCAGATTGCTGGCACACAAGGGCAGTTTTGCTGCCACTTTGTTCATCGTATTCTATTTCATCGGTCATATCGATTCCTGCAGATGGGAAAAGAATCAGCTCGAAAGGATGAGTGGTCAAGCCAGACCAAATACAGCATATTAAAAAATGGGATGATTACCCCTCAGACTATAACACTTCTAAAACTTTTTTCCTGGGGTCTCTGTCAACAAGTAGTTTTTAGTATGTGGAGGCAGGCTTTTTATTGGGTTAATACTCCCCTCTTTGTGCATCTTAATATGCAGTGCTTAGTTGCTGGCTGCGGTTAAACCACAACAATGTCTGGTCCTTGTAGGTCAACAGGCTGTACAGTTGTCTTTTCTTGATACGTGGAAAGAGGCATCCAGCCCTAGCACAGAGTAAGAATTAGTTTGGCCACTTAGCATATTTTTCAGGTATTTGATGCCCACGTGTCATAAAACTGAATTCGTGTCACAGTCATCCTCTGCTTACAGAGTGAGGAGTTTTCATTGCGTTATATCCAACTTTGATGTTACTTTGAACTGAGGTGTGAAAACCATTAATACTTATCTTAATAACCAATTGTTAATGGAATATTTAAGCCAATTGATTTTTTTGGTTGAGCTGTTCTGAAGTGAGTGGTGAAAAAATAAAATTTTCAAGTAACTTTCTTAAGCACAAAGTCATCAAGCATCCTCCATACAAAACCCTTTTTAAGAGGGGGGGGGAAAAGCAGGAGTAAAGTCTGTCCCTGAACTCTAGTCCTAACATCAGTTTCCTTGAGGTAACATGAATCAACTGTGCTTTGTAGATTTTCAAAATTGTACATGGTGTTCTTATGATCCACTGGATAATACGGACTTTTGAAAGCTAGTTAAACTTCAGAGGCTGAATTCTCTTTCTTCATTTTGGCATAAACTGCTTTCTTGGCCCATCTTTCAGACTGTCTTCAAATTTTTGGTCTTGCAAAATCAGATTGGTTACAACCCATTCATATTTCGAAAACCATTTCAATAGACTAAGAAGTTGGTTCCAAAAGATAACTTCTAAAAACGTGAAGTAAATCAGAAATGCCCTCTTATAATGAGAAATGTTAAGTTGTTGACATTAGCTAAACAAATGACAGGCCTCATGTGTCATGGTTTTTGAAAGTCTTCTGTTTTCATAAGTGCTTGTGGTCAAGAAAGAAGCAGCAGCCATTCACGTAGACCCAAAAAAACTCCTAAATTTAAAAATGATGGCATTTGCTGCTTACGTGTGATGGATAATCCTTAAGCACTGGCATTGTACATGTGCTGTTGTTGCATTTTGAGCTTTGGTTATATACTGCTGCGTGGTTTTGTAACATAAATGTAGTGTTTATATTTTATTTCTGTAGTTTTGGAAATTTTTTTTCATTTTAAAGTATATCCTAGTGGACTGGAACTGATAATTTTGGTTCTACAGTTGATTGTCAGTGTCCAGCTTCCCTAGACTGCCCGCTTTATTTTTACAGCATCCCTGCCATGCTTGGCCGTGTAAAACACACATGACTTTTGCTGGGTCTTTGGTCCGACTGAATACCTCAGAACCAGAAGAGTGCATCTAGAAAGTGAGGACCTCCTGAATTAGTCCTTTGAGTAAAGAGCAAGGGCTGCAGCAGGGGCTAAGCTCAGAGCGTAACTAGGCACACAGTCACAATTTATTATGTACTCTCTAACCTCATGTAGGCCCTTCGGTCCTACGTACTCTATTTGTTGCAAGTGCTTTAAAATTCCAATGGTTCTTTAGTGACTTTTGAAGCTTAGAGGCAAAGGAAGTAAAGTGTTAGCAAATAAGAGACACGTTTTTGATGGTCAGCATCGTAATGAATATAGGAAGTTTCACTTCCTTGGCTGTGCCAACGATAAATACTTAATGAGAATATTCTCTTCTTTTTTCGGGGTCTGTTAAACTAAATGCAGATTAATGTTCAGAGTCACCTAGAAACCAATTCCGACCAGTGAGATAGGACTTAAATCTATGTTTAAAACAGTAACCAGAACAAAATTGGTGTACTTTTTCTAATAAAAAAACCCCACACCAAAAAACCGCTAAGAACAAGCTAATAGAAAAAGGTGATACAATTAAACCTGGAGAAGAACTCTCATCATCCGATCTGACTGATGGACGATTGTATCTCTGCTGTTAGACAGAACAAAAACCAGCTGGTTGGGTGAACAGCATTTCTCCTGACTGCAGATGTCCAGTCTAAGCTAATCACGTCGGTTCCCTTGATAGCTGACAGAGAGGCACTTTGGGGAGTGATTCATCGGCTTTAGATGGATATCTAAGAAGAATGGATTGTGTTTCACACAGTCTCCATTTCTCCAAAGACTGCAGAGGAAACCTAAATGAATAGCTAAACTGGATTCCTTTCTCCTCAGGTTACCAGAACCCCAGGAGATAAATCCAGCTGTCCCTTAAGAAAGAAAGTTTTGTGCGATCTTACTGACAAATTGAAATTTGAATAATAATTTCTGATTGTGATCACTTTGAGGTAGAGAGCCTCTTAAAATAAGGGGAAAAAAATGCTACTTGTGGTAGTCATGCTGTTGATTTTTCTGTGTTTTATTCCTCAGAAGTTTTGTAAACTGCATGGTCCAGTTGCTTGATATAGCTTAGTAAGAGTAGTATAGCAGCTATTCATTGATACACATGCATGCTGAAATATTTACATACATATGTATAAGTTAACACAATGATATGGTACTGTGGTAATGAAAATAGAAGTATGGTGTGATTGATCAAAAAGTGTATGGATCGCCTTAACTCCACCTGTGTTGTTATTTTGCCACTATCTTGACTTTCATTTAAGCAAGAAGTCAGAATTTCTCTGTCTGGAGCAAGGTAACTGGGGAGGTTTACCAAAAAAAAAAGAAGATTGCAATGTATACTTTCCATGTAAGTTTACTGGTGCTAGTTAGTACCAGTATTAATGAGTGCTATTCTCATAAAAGATGGAATTTCCAAAGTAATCAAAGGTAAACTACTCTGCAGTTTTACCTAACAGCACTGCCTTAACTTAGATTCAAGAGAAAAGCACTCTGTTGCACATACATCCTATGGATTTTTTTCTTTTCCCGCAAAAGCATGCTATATTCCTCCTATTTCTGTTCTTATCTGTTATTTCTCTCTCCTTTATGTATTTCAAACCAGTTTTACATGGTCAGTAGGTAACTTCAGGCATGCACTTAAGGGTGTTACAAGCAGTCGTATTTTTTCCTCTAATATTTTTTTCATACTGATTAGAACTACCAAGTGCTGTAAACCCAAGGATTGAGTGTATTATTTTTACCTTTAACAGTGCCATTAAATTGCTGCTGGTTTGCAGCACGGGTTAATAAATAAATAAATAAATCCCTCAGCCCCCAAACAAATGCTGTTCCAAATTGGTGGGTGTTGTGGAAATCACTTGCTTTATGAAACATCAACTTGTTGTTTAGCTGCTAAAGCTCCACACTTGTGTTATCTGTTTCACATGCATGGATTTGTATGTATGTAGTTGCTTAGGATCCTTCTTAAGTGCTACTGTTTGTTTAATAACTGAGTTCCTGCATTTCGTTTAAAAAAAAAAAAAATGGAAGAGACTGATAGACTTTTTAGTTGTTTACATTTTACATGCTATGTTTATTATTTGCAATGTTTGTCTGTCTTTATATGTTCATTAACATTTTAATCTTATATGTAGATCTCATGCTGACTCGACAAAATCCAGCTCTTCTGAAACAGACTGCAATGATAACGTGCCCTCCCACAAAAATCCCGCTCCGTCAGCGAGCAAGCATGCTGTGAATGGCTTTTTTCAGCAGCAAGGTGTCTATGACTCTCCACCTTCTCGTACTGGACTGACACTGGCAGACTGCAGCCTTTATAACCTGCCTAGGAGTTACTCACAGGATGTTTTACCGAAGGCAGCGTCTCCATCTGGGACTGATGCAGAAGGAGAGCAACATGTTTTCAATACCCCATCAGCAACATCTTCATTAGATGCACAGATGAGACACATCTCCATTAGCTATGACATTCCCCCCACACCTGGAGGTACTTATCAGATTCCACGAACTTTTCCAGAGGGAACGTTGTCTCAGACTTCAAAACTGGAGACTATTCCAGATATTCCTCCACCTCGGCCACCAAAACCTCACCACGCTGCAGATCGATCTCCTGTGGAAACATGTAGCATTAGTCGCACTGCTTCAGACACTGATAGTAGTTATTGCATCCCTAAAAACTCACGCAGTAATACCATTTCAACTGTAGATTTGAATATCTTTCGGAAAGGTCAGTATTCTGTGTTTCTTCCTGCTCTTCCAGAATTCTTGTGTTAAATGATGTAATCTTGTGGTGAATGATGTGATATGGATGCTACGAATGGGCTGAATGATATGAGGGGCATTTCTAGCCTTTAAAAAACAAGTGTGTAGCCTTTCACAAAGTGGTCTGTGGTCGCAATGCGTGAGATAGGTAAGAAAGAGGAAAAAGAGAAGATTATTAAAGGAAACCATCAAAGCAGCAGAGCACAGAGCATCACTAAGGGATATATACTGCACTGTGGCATTCAGTCTTAGCTAAAAATATTTGAAGACCTAGATATGTTTACAGTGTTACTCGTCTTTAGAAAACAGCAGTAAAGAACTAAACTTTTTTTTTTTCTTTTTTTGCTAATAAGCTCATATAGCTGAGCTCAATACTGCTGTTACCGGTCTTTCAGAGTGGCCAAAGTAAGGTCAGCGTATAGTGGTCCAAATCTGCAGACGCTGAGAGTGTTTCATAAAGGTCAGTGGGACTTGGTGTATACCCAGAGCTTTGAGATCGACCCTTGTCTGATGCTCGTTGCCACCGACCTTTATTTCTCTCCTTGTGATAGATATGCATACTGCAGTTTTTAAGTAAAATTAAAGTTGTTCCTTATAGTCATCTCAACGTTGGTATTCCAGATGTGCTAGTGCATTTTATTTTTTTTTTTACTGTTTTTCCTTTAGCAACTGGGTGGTTTTTGGGTCCTAGCAAATCTGGTGGAGCTACTTTTATGTAAAGAATCTGGTATTTCTTGGGGTTTTTTCCCCACCTGGTTTGGTTTTGGTTTTTTTTTTTTTTGTTCCCGTTATTATTCTCTCAGATTTGAGCTTGAGAAATGCAGTGAGAGGTAGAGTTTTTGGGAAGCTGTTATTTGTTGTTAAAGAGAGCAGTTGTTCTAGTCTTGTTAACCACTCTTGGGCTGAGCGCTTCATTTTTTCAGGTTCCTGAGGGCCGGTGGGCAATACAGTGTGATTTTTTTTTTAATTTTTTTTTTTAAAGTGAAATTTTAAACTGGTTAGAGTTGATGCTGATGTTAGAGGGGATTTTGTAGGAGAATTGTTTGAGTTGTGCCTAGGTGCAGGATGGGAGGCTGAAATGAGGAAGGGGACAGGGCTTTTAGAGGAGGCAATATACAGAATGGATGTGATCATATAGGTGCTCAGATAGTATTATCCTGTTTGTCATTTGTTTTGCAGGTTAAATGTAATAGTATTGGTGGTTGTTAGTGTGTTAAAATGACACAGTACCACCCTGAAAGGCCCTTGTTTGCTTTGCTTTGCATATCTTCTCTCATTTTGCTAAGTTTATTAAGTGAGCACTCCTCCACTAAAGCTGAGGTTGTCATCCTCAGGACAAGTAGCCTTTCTGAAAATACTGTTTTAATTTGGCACTTAATAACAGAAGTGTTTATTTTTCCTCTGAGGTGGAAGTCTTGGAAAAACTTCAGAGCTTTTTTTTGGGCCAAGGTGGGGATGAAACCCAGAGTTTGCCTGCGGTTTCTGTCTTGCCCGTCGCAGGGTAAGGCTGCCTGTTGCCTGCACGGGTGAGCAGGACCTGGGACCCGGGAGCTGTCTCAAACACCCCCATCCACCAGAGAAGCAGCCACAAAACTGAGGACCTTCTTAATGGGGACTGCCAGGAGCCAGGACCCTGAAAATGGAGAGGTTTTTGTGTAGCATTTTGTTCAAACTGAAAGCCCCTGGAGGCTGCGCTGGGGAGCCGAGAGCAGGGATTCACCTGTTCCTGCAACAGATTGAATCTTGCAGAATCAGTACTTTCCAAGGGAAGGGCGTTCAGTCAGAAAACCTTTCTCCAGACCCTAAATTACATCTGCTGTTTGTTTTAGAATAGGTTTTTCATGAGGGCCCAGTATCTCAAAACCCACTCTTACACTAAGTTCTTATACCTGCCTATTTGAAAGGAAGACTTTGCTGCTGCTTTAAAAGGAAACAATGCTTTTTCTTTTCTTGCCATGGAAAATGCCCCTATTGAGAGCTGTAAGTTGTGACTGAGGAGTGCTAAGTTTGTTTGTGAACACAGTCCTCTCAAGTATGTAGATAAAATCTATGCGCCCCAGCTTCAGGAGGTGTGTTTGTATGCTTGCAGAAGCAGACAGTAAATAACAACAGACTCTGATGCCAAGTGACAGGAACAGGGATGATAAATAGCCACTTTCTCTTCTTGTTTCTTTAGAAATTAGTTCTCAAGACTGTTATGATATTCCACGAACGTTTCCGAATGACAGATCTAATTCATTGGAGGGCTTCCATAACCACTTTGTAAGTATGACTTGATCTGATGAGAGGCGCCAGTGACAGTGCTTGAATGCTCTTTGTTCCCATGTAAAAAAGGAAGCTGTATGGTGTTTGTCATTTTTTCAGTAGACTATATTAATCTGAGTAGATTAGGTTAAAAAACTCATATGATTCACAGCTGATTGCATAACTTATTTTGTTAAAGGAAATATATGTTAATTCTAGAAAAACAGAAGCATGTTGACAGTGGGAAGTGTTTCAAGTGAAGAACTAGATGAAAATTATGTCCCAATGAATCCCAACTCTCCTCCACGACAGCATTCCAGCAGCTTCACTGAACCCATCCAGGAAACAAACTATGTACCAATGACACCAGGCACGTTTGATTTTCCGTTATTTGGAAAGCAAGTCCCTCCTCCTGCTCACATGGGTTTCAGGTCCAGTCCAAAGACCCCTCCCAGACGGGTAGTACCTGTTGCAGAATGTGAGCCACCGCCAGTGGATCGGAACCTCAAACCAGACAGAAAAGGTGAGGAAAATGTCCAATAGAAGTTTACTTTTATTGTATAAGAAAATAACATCGCTCTCCCCACTTCTGATTAGTGGGAAATGACATTTCATTTTTAGAAATCCTACCAAAATAGTTTTTATCGTATGAGATAGCCATAGCGTAAAGGAATCCTAGGATTATTTTTAACCGTACTAAAACATCACAATAACAATGCCAAATACAAGCACAGGTTTAAATTTTATTGCTGTAGTTAGTAATGAAAAAATGACACAGAATTGCTAACACTGAGAAGTGTGAATTTTAGTCCTTATACGTAGAAGACAGCTAGCCGACTTGTGATGGAGAGAGAGCATGCAAGGCGTTGGGTAGAATACAGATTTGTAGCCATAACAATGCTTGGTACAGGATCAGCACACGCTTTCATTGTATGAAGTAAAAGTTAAAAATAGCTTGGTTAACTATTTTAGGTATTGGCTTTTGATGTAAACATTGTTAGAAGACATTAATTGTTATAATAAGAATGAGTTGTATATTGTGCTGCTCTTTAGTCCTGCTCAAAGTATGCAATGGTTTTACATAGAATAATTCTTAGAAGTATGTTCAAATGAAGGAGGAGTTAGACTGAAGGAATAGTGTTTACTGCTAAGTAGGTAATGTTAAGTCCTTGTTTCAGTCTGTAAAAGCAAGGAAAAATTGCTTGATGTTGGAGCTGCTTATTTAAGTGTTCATGGCCACATGGGGCAGTCACGGGAAGATGTTTAACATGTGAGCTGTGAGGTTACAATATATATTTTCCTTGGGATCCAAATGGAAGGAGGGAACCACTAATTCAAGACAGTTCTTAAGATGTTTGCTTTATCACAGGCACTGGGTGCCATGCCATTGAAATTTGTGTAAACTGTAGTAGGTGAAAATTTCCTTGCCTTTATAGAGTGTGGTAGATAAAGCAAAGTCATAAAGCAAAAGGAAAACTAGCTTTATGTGCAACTATTTTAAGCTGCTGACTATGTGGAAGACGACTGTTATGAGTCTGAGGAAGCTGCAACAACTTCAATGGCAAAATTTAAAAAAAACCCAAATTTTAGAGTGCCCCTTCAAAGCTATCCTAGAAAATTAATCTTGAATCTGGCACATACTGGGTTTACTTTTCCTTAAAATCAGGATTATTTGGGTGACCGGTGTTCTTAAGAAACAACAAAGATACTGTTGTGATGTGTCTATAAGAGATACTTGTATAGAGAATCACTAATAAGTAGCTTAGACTTTCTAGTTAATCTAAAAATGTTTTATCAGCAGCCTATCAGAGATACAGGTAAATGCTTAAGGAATTTGTTTCCCTACTATGCAGTTTTTCAGACAAGATAACTAACTTTCTTGTAGAAGTGGGAACTAAAGAACACTAGGTCAAATGTCTGTACTATTTTGTATTTGAGTAAGTCCTATTTTTAAAATTCTGTGCTTGAAAAATTAGTATTTACATTGAGAATGGCTGACTTCATTCTGGGGAAAACTCAATGGCAAATACTCAGATGTTCCAAAATATTCACTAACTAAACATTTAAATTAGTATTTTTACCACCAAATGAAAACAGCCGGTAATTAAGTGAAGTAGATAATACCATCACAATATAGATGATCTCAGTGTGAAACGGGAAGTACCACATCTCATTCTGGCTGTCCATCTTCAGAAAACGAGGCATGGCCTTTTTCAGGTCCTTGGCACTCTGCTTGTATCTAATTGTTTCCGTGTTACCAGACAGTAGTTTTGTTTAGTTCTCAAGAAATATTGGACAGTAACAGATTGATGAAAGCTGATACTGGAAAATATTCTCAAAATAAACACTAAACTGCTTTAAAATATTTTCCCTGACTGGCCAGTTTGTGTATTTTACTGATAAAATGTTTGACCTTCAAAAGTAGTAAATTTCTGTGTTGAAAAGCTGCTCGCTTTTGCTGTTGGCAGTGCAAACCAGTTGCACAGATGTCTGCTGGGGCATCTCTCTTCTTGAAACTGAGTTAGTGTTTTGCATTCTAAAAGTGGTGTGTAAGGCTCCTGCTTTGCTCCCATCTTCAATGGGAATGCTTTACAGCTAACATGAAGGAAAAGATTTTTAGATGTACTAACATATCTCTTGATGAGTGTAGATGACTGGCTGGTTTTTTTGCTGGCAGGCTTTTAGAAGCTGTTATCACGCTAAAATAATATGATTATTTAATATAATTTAGAAGATAAAATAATCTTAAAATAAAGCTGTCCCCAAAAGTAAATATTGTGTAATAAATGCTTAGGGGCTAAAAAAAAAACCTTTGTGAAGATCTTGAGTTACCAAGAATGGTAATGATTCTGATTTACCACTGAGGGTTTTATCTTAGTCACACACACACTCACTCACTCACACTGGGTCACGCAAATTTTATCAAGTGTCCTACTGCGAGTCTTCCATTGCTGTGAAGACCAGATATGATAACACATCAGGATGATAATATAGTCCCGTTTCAGTAGTTGAGTTCTCCATGCAAATAACTCCTTCAATAAATATCTTTGGGAAAATAAAAATGCAGTTCCTTTTGAATTAAAATAGGACAAAACTCTTGTTTTAGCAGACCCTTACCTAACTAAAAGGAGTGTATGCTTTATATTCTACTGTGTTGCTTTTCAAGCTTTCAAGTTCTTGGAGCAACTTCTATTATCAGATTGTTTCTGCTTATATAAATATATTACAATGGTCTTCTGCTACGAATTAGTTCATAGAAAGTATCCAGTTGGCCAATATGTTCAATAAAACTTAGACATAGAAAGGGAGAAAATGGTACATAAAATAGTTACCTACCAGGTATTGCTCCTTTAAATGTTTTTTGGGTTTTTTAATATGGCTTTGGTTCAAGAATTTCTGTTGAAGACCACTGCTGCTTCTCTGAAAGATGGTGTTACTGCAGAGATCAGGTGCATTGGTGGCAAGGCCGCCAGGTATATGAGGGCCCATCTCATGTTCTGTCTGAAGAAGCTGCTGTATCTCTTTTATTCATTACAGATTGCTGCCAAAATAGTGTTTGCACTGTCTCCAAGTAACATTCCCTTTTGGTAGCTATCCTTGTTACTGAGAAATATCACCATCACCTTTCACGTGAGCATTAGCTGTCGCTCAGTAATGCTTCTGTGTGGGCCAGGGGACTTTATGTTCAGTGCCAAAAAATGCATTTGACAAAGAAATGACGCAGTGAAACTAGCACGTAAAGAAAGAATGCACTGCTTTTTGCTGTCAAATGTGTATGGTTAGAATCCCCTCTATTTTTCTTTGGTTTAAGGACTGACTGCTTACAGGCAAGTTTGGCAAGGGTAGAAAATGGAGGGCTCAGTGATGGCAGTGGCCATTCTGTTGCATATAGCCTGCTCTCCCCTCTGCCGCTTCTGTTTTGTAAACCTGGAATGAAACATATACTCAGTTACTCCTGGTTCTGCTGTCTTTGAAGAATAATGTGTCAGGCAGCGAGGATCTGGCAATCTGTCTATCAGCAGCAGCGACTGTAATGTGTGTGTCTTACAGCTCTGATACAAGCGCTTGATGTTTTGGATAATGCATTAATTTGTTAAAATTCTCCAAATTTTTAAGACAAGGTACAGTTATATAGAAGTAGCGACTGTGACAGAAGACTGAGTTATTAAAAATCAGTAACACAGGTAAACTCAATTAAGGTAACAAACAGGTCTAAAATTCACTAAAGTACATGCACATTCTTCTGAGGAGGGTACTTACGTACCCCTGCTGTGAGAGCCTGAGGCTCTTCAGTCTTCCCACCTGCAGGAGTAGCCTGGGCCAGGAGCCATGGTGAGCTACGAGACAACCTGTGTCTTTTTTCCACCAGTGCCTAGAAGAGCTTTGTTTTGGAAAATGGGTTAAAAAAACAATAACAAATTAAAAAATACATATATATAGCCTTGAGATTACACTACATTTTCATGTAGTTTCATTTTTCTAGCTCACAGCTGCTTCTGTAAATGTGGGGAGCTTCCAGTACTTTCTGGAAGTCTTGAAAGTAATTTCAAAACATGGTGTTGGCTTCCTGCCCCAATAACTTGAATCAAAGCGCTTTACTATTTCTTTAGAGAAGCATACCAAAAGGTAAGTGATATATTGCTTGGGGCAAAATGGAGAGTGTTTGGCCAGGTGCTTTTCTGCATTCACCTGTAACTGAATGACAAAAATAATCTGTCTTTTAATTTGTTTTTTCAGGGTGCTATTTCTTTTATTATAAAGAACCATTGTCTGTATTGATTTTGTATTTCTGCTTTCTGGCTGCTTTAGCTTGCCACGGTTGCATGTAGTCACGATGCTAAATTGGAAGCACTGTTGCTAGCAAAAGGCTTCAAGTGGAAGAAGTATTGCATCCATCCATGCAGTTGGGTCTTATTCTCTAAATTGTTCAAAGACTGCGACTGGTTCTACCACAGAGCGATTACGTGACGTTTGTTTTGACAGTCACGTGTTCCTTCCTCAAAATACCATTTATCCAAGAAGGAGCAGTAGAATTAAAGGTGCCCAAATGCAGTGAGGTGTCCCTAGACAGCTAAGGTAGCAGAGAATAGCCAGGTTCTCTTCTGCTCCACCTCCTACTTACCCTGGGGCCCTTCAAAATATCTGAAGAGGTTTGTGATACAAGGCAGTGGATCCTGTGATCTCCATCCTACTGACAGCTTGCAGGACTGTAGTGAACATTTCTGCACTTCATGGGGAACCCCTCTGTGTAGCAAGGCAGGTCCCAGGTGGCCGTGCTGGCAGTCCACAAGAAGGTTTTAAGGCCTGACAGGAGGTCTGTGAGTCTAGACGATCTTAATCTTCAGTACAAATGTGATGTAAGTCAGAGATCAAGGAAAGTGCACGGTCCAAAATAAAAGGGGTAGGGTGTGAATTTGTTTTTTATGTCAGGAGGCAGCGTATGAGAGATGTGGGGGTGTCTGTGAGCCTCTGGGCACGATAATGGCCCCCTCCTGGCCCATGATTTATTTCCAGGGGCGGGGG